CCATGGACGGTAGGCTGGCCAAGGTAGAGGTGACCATAGGCGACATGGGGGAGAAGCTGGAGGAAGTAAAGACTCACATTACATCGCTAGAAGAAAGCTGGTTCTAGAGATATCTGGTCTACCATGGACGGTAGGCTGACCAAGGTGGAGGTGACCATAGGCGACATGGGGGAGAAGTTGGAAGAAGTAGAGACTCACATTACATCGCTAGACTCCATGGGGGAGGAGATCCAAAGTGAGCTAGAAGTTGCTCTCAACAATGGCCTGGATGCGATCACCCGAAAGAATGAATCCTTGGAGGCGTTCGAACCCGCGCGGCTCCGAAACTCGGGCATTCACCCTTCCGGCGTCCCAGATCAGCCTACCTGCCACGGTTCACACCTTTGTGAGGTATTGTCCGCTCTGGCCCCCCTAGCCTCCCAGTTTTGTCCTACAAAAGGCGCCTCACAAGACGAAGATGGTGTGAACCCTTTTATACCCTAGTGACCCTCCTATTATGTTCGATGTGGGATTCAGGACTCCTCCTTAGGTCCGTGACATTCTCCCGCACCCAACCTCGTGACGCCCTCGTCATGGAGGTTAGTCACCCTGCCTACTTCCCTCGAAGTGCTTGGCGTGGATTGAACGGTTTAGGGCTGGCTCTGATACCACTTGTCACGGGTCGAGACTTAAGCTCCGAACCTGCGCAGCTCCGGGACCCGAGCATTCACCTTTCCGGCATCCCAGATCAGCCTACCTGTCATGGTTTACACCCTTGTGAGGTATTGTCCGCTCTGGCCCCCCTGGCTTCACGGTTTTGTCCTACAAAAGACGCCTCACAAGGCGAAGATGGTGTGAACCCTTTTGCCTTTGTGATTGCCAAATGACCATCCGGTCCTTGGGCTTTAGGGAAGAAACTTCGAAAGTATATTGGGCAAAGTTAAACCGTTAATCGAAGTTAAAACTTAACTTTAGTTAGTTCAGCCCCTTCGTCCCACTTAAACTCGTGAAGATTTTTTATGAAAAAAATTGTAAGGTCTAATAAAATTAAAGTGAACAATATTTCATAAATTGATGTGAATTATAATATTAAATTATTTACTTTAATAAGTGAATTGAATTTAACATGAAATTGTAGGTCCAAGTTAAGCTCAAAGATATTATTATAATAGTAAATAATATTTTTATTTAATTTTAAAATGATTAAATATATATTTGACTCATGAACTTTTAAATTTTGATCATATTAATGCTTAAAAAATTTTTTGTTTGATTAATTTTTGAACTTTAATTTCATAACTCGGTTTACCTCAAAATTTAATTTCATTAAAAAAAAAAGCTAATGTATTTTAAATAGCCAATCAAATAAGACCATCAACGAAATTCCATGTCTTCAACTTAATTTTTTTTCACATCATTCAAAATTCACATCAGATACCAAAAAAAAAAAAAACACTTATTTTTTAATCGAGATAAAAAATATTTTCAAGAAGTTGATTTCTTTGAAAAAGAAAGTACAATTGATTTAGGGTTTTATGTGATTAAAGTATGGTATTTAAGCAATCAATTTAAAAAATACAATCAATTGGGGGTTGTGTTTAGATCAATCAATCAGTCTTTGAAATTGGGGGTTTAGGACAATCGATTTAGAAAATACAATCTATCGGGGGTTTGGTGTTTAGGGTAATTTATGGGTCTTTAAAATTACTTAACATTTTATTAAAATCATATTTTATATTTTAATAGTTAGAAATAATATTTATATTTTAATAAATATAATAAATAATAAGAATAAATAACTAGGAATAATTATTATTTATATTTATTAAAATATAAATATTATTTATTAATATATAATAATTAATCTTTATGTAATAAAAACGAAATATCTATATATAAAATTAATAAAAAGGAAATATTTATATTTATATGAAAATTATTAAAAAGGAAATTAAAATCATTTTTATATTTTTTATATGAATGTAGATTTTTTTATTAATTTTACATATATACATTTTTTTATTATTTATTTTGACCGTGATCAAATAATTAATTATTTTTATTAACATTTTATTTTTCATTAATTTTATATATTATTATTTTTATAATTATTTTTAATTATGATATCAATTAATAAAATTTTTTGTTAGATCATCCTTTTTTGAAAATTTCTTATTTTTATACATATATAAGGTTTTTTATAATATCATTATTCGCATGTCTCAAAAATGCCAACATATTATTAATATAAAAATACAAGAGTTTTAATAGTAAAAAATAAGAATTGAAAAGTTTAATTAGATAAAATAGTAATATAAGGGTTTAATTATATTATTTTGAATATTTAAAAGTTTTTTTATATTTTATTTAAACTTATTATTTGTTATTAAACCAGTTCGATTAAAAAAAATTATCCGATTTATTGATTTGTTATGTAAATTATGGATTCAAAATTATTTAAAATAATTTAATTATAAAATTGATTTAATTACAAAATCGGATTTCAATATTGATTTTTTTATTCATCCGGTCGGACTGACAATTTGATCCGATTTTTGATAACTATCAAATAAACCAATTGGAGGTAACTCTAAACATGGGGTTTCAATGTGTCCAATTGATCTAGCCCGCGGACACCTCTAGATAGGGCATACCTTAAACAGAGCACAATTGATCTTATAGATGCATACAACACAACTGGATATATCTTGCTCAGAAAAGCACATCTAGCCTTGAAATTGAATCAAGGATAATTTATATACATACATACATACATGCATGCATACATATATATTTATTTATTTGCCATTCAAAACTTCAGATATAACAATAACAGAAACGAAAGTCAAAACAAACGAACAAAAATGAGCTAAAGATGCTATAGAGACTCGCCAATGTCTCCAGATCTTCCAATTAAGTCCAACTACCCAAAGGGGTGCAGGTAAACCGCCCTTTGTCCAAGATATGAACCGATGGGAAAGGAGGCTGTCGAACCCGACCTAAGGTGAACTTTCCTAGTCAGCGACCATGTTTACAAGTATTGCCTCCAAATTCTCTTAGATTGCCAAGTTAGCAGCCACGTTTGAGGTTTCAACCTTCAGGGCAAAATACATAGTTACCAGTTGTCCATTCTCATCTCTCACAACCACTCCAATGCCTGCTTTGCCACTTTATCAAAAGCTCCATTACTGCTAAACTTGAGGCAGTGGGCAGGAGGGTGGGACCTACCAGTGTTTGGAGCCTTCACCACTCTGCTGCACACTCTCTATTTCATGAGGTTATCCTTCTTAATCTTCAAAAAACTGCATGCTGCTTTGCCTATTTTCTTAATTGCATCTAAGCTTCTTCTGCTGAAACACTGCTCCACATTTGCTCTTCCAAATTTAAAGAAACCACATATTTCCCCATTCAATGAGTTTTGTCCCTAGACCAACAAAATCCACTCATCAATTGTGGTGATTTTTATCTTGTCCATAATGTGATCCAAACCACGAACCATCCACCCAATCACAGAGCAATAACATGTGTTCCACCGTTTCCTCAACCTTGGAACACAAAGGACAGAGAGGATCAGTCCCTAGCTTTCTTCTAAACAAAGCATCTTAATTTGGTTGCCAGTGATCTGGAAGAAGCTCTACAAAGAAAATGTTTGACATTTTTATCCACCATGTAGGAAGAGATGCACTAAGAACTGCTCTCTCCCGTGGATTGTTCTTCATGGTATGATACCCTGACTTAACAGAAAATGCACCATTCTTATTTGGCCATACCACTTTATACTCCCTGGTTCTCCTGCTAAGTGGTATGGTTCTATTGCATCCAAATTTTCTTCAGACACTAGATGACTAATGGCTTCCAGATTTCAAGTTCGGGAGGCTTGGCCAATCTAGGATCTTCAGCTTGGAGGCTCTGGGATGGTGTTGGCCTAAGACTTTCAATTCCTTTTACCTACCTGTCCCCTACCCTCCAAGGTGCTACACCAGACCCGACAAGTTGTGCACCCTTTCCAGCTTTCATCAGTGAGCTTTTCAGAAAATATATATACCTTTAAACACCCTTTTCCATAGACTGTTGTCATTTTGAAGAAGTCTCTAACACTGTTTAGCCAATAAGGCAAATTCAACAATTCAAAATCCTTAAATTCCACTACTCCATTTCCCTTTGCTGTTGTAAGTTCTTCTCATCTCTACCAATGGATTTTCCTTCATCACCTTATTGTCCCCACCCAAATTTTGATATGGCAGATTTAATCTCATGACAAAAGCTCTTGGTACAGTAACTTCTTTTACCTGCCTTGTAGCTTTGCCAAAGCTCTGTCCTTCAGAAAAACAATTACCTCTCTTGTAGATTTCAAAATAACAATTTGAAAATATAATAAATAAATATCTATTTTCTTCAATTAAAAGTTTTAAACCTATATTTTTCAAAATTTTAGTTTTATACAATATTTTATAATGGTCAAAGAATTTGACCAAAAAAGTGAACATATTAGAGAGCAAGAGCATTCTTGTTCCAAAAGGAATAAGTATGGTTTCCGGATGCTAGACAGCTATAGCACTGCTTCAACTTTTCTTTTTTTCTTAATTGTCTTCTTTCTTTTTGAATAGTGATTCACTTCTAATGAAATACACTAATAATATAGTCAAGTAAAGATACAATAATAATACTAATAATAAGGTTAATGTTATGAATGATCTTAAATAATAGTAAAATTTAAAATCTCAAATTAAATACTTGAAGTATAAATTTCTGATATTCAACCTTAATATAACTAGTTTAAAATAATGACACTTGATGAAATAACCTTTTAAAGGTTTCAAGCACCACATTAATTAATTGATTCATAGTCATATAACACATTATAGATTTTTAAAATTCAAATAGCATTGACCGTTTACTATAGTTTAGAGATCATGACATTAACCCATAATAAAACAACCTTGTTTAATATAAATTCCAAAAAAAAAAAAAAAAAAAGAAAACCTACCACATTATAAATACTTAAGAATAAAGATGTAATGTTGATAAAAAGAATAATAAAATTCTAAGCCAAAGGTGAAAAATGACAATGACATGATCCTTCAAGATGATTCTTTTGACTGCTGTGCAGGAGCAAGTTAAAGTATTTCCCAAAATTCAGAAATTCACAAGTACTTGCATTTCATTTCCACAAACTAGAATATGATAATACCACAAAAGAAATTATAGTAGAAACATTCTGATTTTTTTAATTTGACACTAGTTCAATACCATCAGCCAAAATGAAATTCAAATAAATAAAAGAACTCTAACCAGGACATGTAATCTAATCTAAGAAGAAGAAGAAGAACGCTTAGTAGCAGTCCTAACAGCAGACCAAATCTGAGCAAAACCCTCAAAAACATGAGGCAAAACACTGCCAATGCCATTCAAAGCAGCCCCAGAAGCAATTCCAATGGCAAAAGTCTCCATATATCCAGGCTTAGAGTCAAGCTTCATATCAACAACAGCAAGCCTGCTGTTGACACTGTCAATCTTTCTTGAAGTGTCAAGCAAGAACTTGTCCTTCTTGGATTTGGGGTTGGAAGAGATGATTCTCATCACCACATTCTGAAGATCCTCAATTACTTTGATGGAAGCTTCTTGGGAATCAACGCCTTGGTTTTCGTAAAGGGATATCAGCTCTTGTGGTGTAGGGATTTTTTTCTTTGCTTTGTTGTTGCTGTTGTCTCTGTCTTTTTGAGGAATAGCAATGGGCGTTGCTGGTTGTTCCATTTTTCTTTTTTTTTGGTGTCTTTCAATGAGAAGATAGAAGAAAAGAGAAAAGCCCCGCAAGCACTGAAGAAAAACCCTAGGATTTTGGGAGCTTTTGGAAGATAAGGTTGAATAGGTACCCGACAGTAGAAGTCATAGATAGCGATGATAAATTTTGATTGCTTTTTTTTGGGGGTTGTGGGCTGACAACATTCTTTATATTAGTTTATAAGCCCAAACTTCTCTTTGGGAGCAATGGTCCCATATGGCCGTATGCTATGGCCTTGTTCCAACTCTTTAAAAAGATCCAAAATAACATTTTTCTTCATAAAAACAATAAAACGAAAAAAAAAGAAAAAAGAAAAGAGCTTCGTTGACAAGTGGAATTCAAGGTTATTTTTTTTTAAACAGTTACACATGTCTCATTTTTTTAAAAATTAATTAATTTATTTTTTTACATAAAAAAATATATAATAAAAATATTATTATTTTAATTTCATTTATAAAATTAAAATATTTTACTATTAATACATTTGATAATTTCTTTTTTTTTCCCTCTAACTGTGTATGTATATAGGTAGCATCGAAGAGTATAATTGGAGGGTCCCAATTGCATTGCTCCTCTAGTTTTCAATTGGAGAGAAAAGGTTCATTGTTTCACTAAACTTCTAGGCAATTAACTACTTTAGCTGGAATTTAATGTAAAATTGAAATAACATCAAAATTTTAATTATAGTAGTCAACTATCTTTAGTAGAGTAATCGATTCTTGTTATTAAATTTATATCCAAACACAAATCTTCATTATTAATTTTAATATTATTATTATTATAATTTATTTTACCATTATCGTTATTTTTAATTTCATATTAATCTAAATAAACCTTTTAATATAAGCGGTATGTTCCATTTTTCTTTCTCTTTCTTTCTTTCTAAATTCAATTAAATTTCCGTTAAATCAATAGATATTGTCCCAAAAATATATGTTTGATTTTCTTTTATTTTCAATGGAGGTAGAACACAACGCCTTGGACTGGAATATGTTAAAAGGATAGTATGTTCTATGCGGTACTTGCTAGATTGTTTAAAGCATGCATCAATCTGTTCATCAATTTAATTTGATTCACTTCAATCAAATTCAAAAATTGAGCTCGGATAAGTATCTTTGACAATTGAAATAAGTAATTATAATTTTTTTATTTACTTGAACTTTTTTCCTGCATTCAATCCAATGATCAACTCAAATATTCAATAGTCAATATCAAGCCAAATTTTAAATATATATTATTCACATTCCTATGGATTTTTTAACCCTATTTTTTTCCGAAATTGAATAAGTAATGTTTAATATTTTCATGGACAATTAATTTTAAATTTTTTAAATTAAAAACAAAAATCACCAACTTTCTTACCCCTTATTTCCGAAATTGTATTAAATATATATAGAAGAGGGATCGATTTAGATTAGTATAACTCTTACACTTTTTGGATCCTTTAAATCAAAATTACTAAATTTAAAAACATTTAATTCAAATGAGTGATCCAATTAATTTTTTTAATTGAATACAAAAATCAGCAACTTTCTTGCCCCTCACTTTCAAAATTGTATTGTAGATATGTGTCAAGATAACTTTTTTTTTTTTTATTGTTATATCAAAATTAAATTCATGACTCATTTAAATTAAAATAATATTTTTAAATTTAGTAATTTTGATCTAAAAATCCAAAAAAATATAAAAGTTACACTAGAATAAATGAATCCTTCATATATATATATATATATATATATAAAGACTGATCAACTTACATGATGCAAAATTAAAAATCTTATACACATTTTTTTAATTATTTATTTCAATAAATATAAGGGATAAAAAAACAAATAAAATAAAAAATTGGTTTAATCTCATCATTAGAATATTTTGAAATTAATAATTAAAAAAATATCTAAAACTTTTTTAATTTTACATTATATTAATTGATTATATATATATAGGAGAGATCCACTTACATTAATGTAAGTGTTAATATTTTGTTGATCATTGTATCAAAAAAGCTAAGAATAAGTATTATAGATTTAATTTTGATCCAAATATCAAAAAAAATTTATGATACTTACACTAATGTAAATGAATTTCTACTCGTATATATAATTACTTATATACATATATATATATATATTATTGACATTCATATGGATAGTTATAAGTGTGACTTTTGTTGCATCTCTCAAACCTAAATTAAAATGTATCGAGTTTTAATATGATATAAAATATACAGCAAATTGGAGATGTAAGGATCTCATTAATGTATGCATATAGTGATGATAACTATTTGGATTGGATTAAATATGATTTTTTATATAAAATATATCCAATCCGAATTTAAATGAATTTTTTTTTTTTAAATCAATGAGAACCAAATTCTACTAATTCAACTTGATTCATCAAATTTTTAAATTTATTTTTTTATTTTACATATATATATCATTTTAGTATAATTTTTAATATATTTAAATAAATTTAAATATAAAATAATTATTTTTATTTTATACAAATTAAAAAATATATAAAAACCAACAAAATATATAATTCAATTAAATTCAATTTCTTTTCCAAAATTTTACTTTTTGATTTGAAATTCAATTCAAATTTAATATATATATATATATATATATACACATAATAAAATATTCAAACGGAACTGAATCAAATATTATGATTTTGAATCAATTTTTTATTATATATGAATTTAATATTTGAAGTAAATACAAATTGCATTAAAAAATTGATTCAAACTGAGTGTTATGGTTTCAAATTGATTTTCAAATTTTTCACTTTTTTTCTCACCCCATATGTATAAAAATAAAACCATCTTATAATGCCAACGCTTTAAAATTTTGAAGTTGAGACATCCTGACTGTTAGCACAGCATCCTTCAATGATTCATAAATTTGTTGCATAAAACATTGGAATAGATATAGAAAATAAATGAAAAGAGGCTTAGGCCGAGTTATCAATTTCATTAAAACCTCAATATCACTAACTCAAAATACTAAATGTTCTCTTATTTCAGATTATTAAGAAAAGAACAGAAAAGATTTAGTGAGGCACCCCATGATATACATCAAAATACCTATCTGTATATGTGCAAAATACCTAAGAACTCAAAGGTAATGGGTGCTGTATGCTAGCGAACACTGTAATTAGATTTAAACAAACTCTTCACAGAAACACCGGCGCCATAACAAGAGTTATCGTAGCAAGCATTTTTATGAGCACATGAAGCGAAGGTCCTGCTGTGTCTTTGAATGGGTCTCCCACACTGCAATCCCAAGTTCAATTATCATATTTTCTATTCTGATAAATGCTTCTTTTTTTTCCTACGTCTTAATTCATTCATGCTTATATGAATATAGAAGAAGAAAGCAGGTTAGATCAAACCCAAGAACTACCCCGCCTTGGCCAACCCCTGCTAACAGTCCATATTCTATCTCTTATAGGCCTAGCACCCCACCATTCTGGAAAGGAAGAAGAATATAAGAAATAATAAGAAAAAAAAAAAAAAACAGAACTTACGTATCTCCAGTAACTGCTGCTTTATGTGAATCACTGCCTTTGCCCCCAAGAGCTCCTGTCTCAATGTACTTCTTCGCATTATCCCAAGCACCACCAGCTGTGTTTAGAAAGAGAGCCATTAAAATACCAGAAACTGTTGCAAACATCAGCAGAGCAGCTACAACTTTTGCTCCAAGTAGAGGATGTCCAGTATAGTGTCCCAAAACACGAAATAGAAAACCTGCAAATGGTGACATAGAAATTACCAAGTTGAGGGGGCTTTCTTTTTTAAAGAAAAAGAAGCATTAAAAGAGCACCATAATGTATGCTTAAATCACCTACAAACCACTTTTAATCATCTAATCTCCTTAATTCTTTTTTTTTTTTCTTTTGGGTAAAATGATCTCCTACATCCTTGATATGGTTCTAGAGACAACAGTACAAACAGAATGTTTGATTCCAGCAACAATATGATATCGCAAGAAGATTACATGGTAGTAAAAAGAAATATTTCATCACTTAATAGATTTTAGATAAAAATTCTGCTTCCATTAAATCAAACAAGCAATACTACCACAAACAAATCAAGGGACTAGGATTACAATGCACTGCTGCTACCATCATTACTACTGCATACTCACAAGACTGCTACATCTAAATAATAAAGCAAACAGAACTGAAATATAGATTAATAAGAGAAATTAACAGTCAACCCATGAGTGCAAAAGTAAATAGTAATCAGCAAAGAGCAATTGACACACCAACTACTATTGGCGATACTATAGCCAAAGCACCAGGTTTTATCATCTCCCTCAAAGATGCAGATGCCACAATAGCAACACAGCGACCATAATCTGGCTTCTCCTTATAATCCTGCAGCCAGTATGTCAAAAAAAAAAAAAAAGCATAACTATTCACATAAGAGAAAAAAGAGAAATGATTGTAGAGAAACATGATTTAAAGCAAAATTCAATTAGTCTACATTTGTTTGTTTTGGAGCTTAATGATAAGAAAAATCATATTAGAAATTTTTAAATCTCTCTCCACAAAAAAAAAAAAAAAAAAACTAAGAAAGACTGCAACTGCATCTTCTTTTTTCTGTTCTATTTACTTCTCTCATGCTTCTTTTATCCAGACAAGAAATGTTTTACAATTTCTCTCTGCTGCTTTTAATTCAAATACAATAGAAAAACTAAGGTTAAAGTACACCATAAAAGGCTGTCAAAAACTTAAACCCACCATGATACCAGGCCTCTCAATAAATTGTCTTCTTACTTCCTTAACAACCTCCTGAGCAGTTCGGCCAACTGCAGCACAGGCCCATGCACTAAATAAGAATATAAGCATGGAGCCCAACAATCCACCAATGAAAACCTCAGGAATGGCAATATCGACCTGAAAGTTGATTAAAACTAGGAATGTTAGAAAAAAAATGAAAGAGTTTGCAGAATAACTAATGAAAGCCTCCATTGATTGCCACTTTTTGCTTCATCTTTTCACCTTTTTTTCATTTCTCAGAAACACCAATTCAAACACAATTATTGTTCCTATAAGTAAAATCATTAATTTTTCTTTTACTAATTTATTCAAACATTGCTTCTCCCTTTTTTCAGAAGTAAAACACAAGTGGCAGAATTGGTAAA